TGTGAAAAAAAAGTTGAATGGTGCTGTTCATCAGAGGTCTTGCAACTTCTTTTTCTATTTCTCTCGGTTACCTCGGCCAAAATCATACCTATTCCACATGAAATAAAGTCAAAACTCCACCGTTAGTAGCTAAGTAATTTTCTCTCAAAAATGACGGAGATTGAGAGCGAGCGTGACCGCAACGAAAGCCCCCAGTCTTCTAAGTATAGCATGACCTATTCTCACTCCCCATTCACTGAAGTGGTTCGCTCTTCTGGGCATGATGTTGCCACCTTCCCGAATGAACAGTGATCGGAAGACGGAATACATAGAGTGCAGGAATATCAACTTCAGCTCTACGTGCAAGTCAGCATGAGACGCCCTTAGTTAGACCTCCTTCAAGTCACGTTGAAGGGGAAGCCAATCTTACATCTATCTTATCTACTATCTGAACTCCAGCAAATGAATTCGGCTTTTGCATTTTACTCTGCTATGAAGTCAAAAGTCATGGGGTGGATGATCGAGTGAAATCGAATTCTCTCTACCGGTAGCAGCGTGGTGAGAATGCGGATGAGCGAGTGCTTTCCATAACAAAAGAGAACCTGTTCAAAATCCGAAATTTTCCTAGAGAATCTAATCGTTTCACTATGCTTCGCCTATTACCCTTATCACCGTTTCTGCAAATAAAAAAATGTTTGCTGGACATTTATTTTACAAAAATCAAGCATAGATACTATGCTAAAGGCTTTGCTGGTTGGAACTTCAATGGAGGCGGTCGCACCGTCTTCAATCGGTTCCTGATCACATCTGGGAGCATTTCTAAGCTTTTTCGTTCCTAAAACATAGCTTTTATTGGTAGTGTGAGAATAACGGTGGATCACACGAAACCAACCGTTTGGAAAGTCTCCAATATACTGATGAGAGTTCTTGTAGATGCTACTGCTGTTCCATTGCAGGTGTGAACGAATTTCTTCTCACCTGCCTTGTTGACATAGCGAATCCCTGAATGACATCCCATAGGACCTGATCTAATCAGCGCACAATGTCAGGACTAACGATTAGCTGATTAACTGAAGCCTTATATTGGGTTGGAGCATAATATCGTAGCGTTTTTTTTTCGAAACTATAAATTCAATCAGTACAAGTATCACCCAAAAACCGCTCATAACATTTGAAAGTACTCTTCCCGCTCTACAAAACCGTAGTTGTCATTTTCTTCAAATTGTAGCTGTACTCAGGTATAGAACTT